TGGAAAGTGAAATCATGAAACATAGTTTCATAGGTTTATAGCTAATGAAAATTATTTATTGGTACAGTATTATATACATTTTTAATAACCAATTGTATATGTACTACGTACACTTAATCCTAACGCAGCCCTAATTTTCTTTAATTCCGAAGAATATTTATTAATTCCCTAGATTTCCGCCTTTCCGCCACCAAGGTACATAGCGAAAAAGTTCACGTGAAAAATTTCACATTTTCACGTTGAGAGAGTTACATGATCCCGCAAAATTGTACATGATCACGTGAAACTTTTCATTTTTCACGTTCCGTCCTAGGAAAAAAGTTACATGATCGATCCCAAGGTATGAAAAATGAAAAGTAAAAAAGTGAAAAACTGAAAAGTAAAAAATTTCACGTAAAGTTACATGATTGACTCTCAGGAGCTAACGGGCTAACTCTGACTTGATCTAAAATTATCTACGCCTTATTTATAGTGCAGATATGTATCTATCAATTATCTACTCAATTATATTTTACCTTATAGAAATGATATTTCGTCATGAAACTTTGCTAAGATAATTTCTTTTACAATTACGAAGATACCTACAGAGCCAATTTTGCAATTTAGCTCTTAAATAATTAAAATAAATGTAACTATCTACTCTTTTACAGTGCAGATATATATTTGAGTACACCCATATATCATCTCGTAGAAACAATGGTTGCGTTCAGAGAAAGCAGATCAGTGAGCGTTCAGTGATTCTTTATTATGATTGGTTTCTACACTTAAATTCAACGAAGATCTAAAGGCAAGGACCAATCATATTGAAAAATCACTGAGCGCTCACTGATCTGTTTTCTCTGTTGAACGCAGCCAATATTCTGCCATGAGTCTTTTTCTACGTATTTTTTATAAAATTATGACTCTTGTTGTTATGACAGAGCGGGATTTTGCAATTTTGCTCTTAAAAAAAATTTACAATAGATGAAAATATTTGCACCTTATTGTCCTATAGTGCAAATCTATTTACGCATAAAATGAATTATTTATTTTCACACATTTTCTTACAAAAATCGCTCTGTAGCTTTCGTCAGGCAAATATTCTGATTATAAATATCATAATTATATAGCTTTTCTCGCAGTATTTTGACTGTAATATGAGTGAAAAGGAATTCATCTCCGATAGAGGTCTCCATAGTCTTTCCTGCCAACCCTTAAAAAAGTTTATATATATATGTGTTTAACAATAATTAACAATAATTGCTCTTTATTAACAAATCAAATATTTTCAATAAATATATTTTACAATTTGAAATTTTTTGCACGATAGCATATTTTAGTGTAGTGATGAAAACAGTACTTTATCTTTAGTAAAGTATTGTTTTCATCACTATATATTTTTATAAACATTTATAATAATAATCTTATAAATTTATAATTATATAATCTTGATCGATTTTATCGCTTGCTTTAATTTTTATTAAATTCGACCGTATGGATGCGCAATGCGCACATACGGTACCATTTGAATTCAATCATATACATTAAAAATTTCTCGTGTTTTATATACAATTATTATAAATAAATTTATAATTAATATACCAAATATAATATACCAAATGATTCTCTAAATTAAAAAGTCTATCATATCGAGTTATATATAAAAAATGATGCGATTAGGAACAAATTGTTGCTGCAAAGACAAAGTAACCTAGTTATTCTCAAATATATATAATTATTAACATATTTCTGTGCATTTTGATATTTTGGCATCATGTAATATTGTTATATATATTAATTATATATATTAGTTATATATGTTAGTTATTATATATTATATTTTGTTATTTATTACATTCGATATTTTCAAAATTATGATTAAAGATACTAGAAATATTTTTATTGTTACTATTTATAGATGAAAACAAATTTTTTGATATTTTTGATATTTTTGATATTTTATCTATTTATATCATTTCAACCTTTTTCCCTTTTTTTAAGGAAAACCGCATATTTTATTTGCACCAAATATTACTACACCTATAACGCCTTAAGCAGAAATGATAAAAATTTATAAAGATGTAATTGTTCTGGCTTATGATTTAACTTGATTTCACAAAATGGCTTTATTTAATCAACATATTTAGGAATGTTAGTTTACCCTTTGAACTATTTCACGGATATTGGTAATCACAGTAGTCAGATATGCAGAATCATCAAAAAGTTCTTACGTAACTATAGTTATTTAAATCACAAATGTATTTCTCGATGCATTTATGCAATATTTCAAGATATCACTTAAGAGAGATAGAGAAATTTTATTATGTTTTTAAAATGTTTCTAATTAAATTATACATATATGTTAGGCTAATTACATTTGTTAACTCTGTATATGCAGCGCGTGCCATGTTTTTGCCATACTTATATATATATATATATATATATATATATATATTATTATATATATATATAATATATATATATATATATATATATATATATATATATATATATATATATATATATATAGTACT